GTTTTGTATAAATAGGGTTTTGGTCAAACCATACTTAAGTCTTACCGTAAGAGTGCTCTACAATTGTCCCTTGTGTGGGTTGTGTGCATCCTCCTGTTGTAGTTGAGCCTTGATTGTCGGGGACACGTTGTGGGTGCGTGGGGTTGACCCTCAGGCTGATTGGTTGTGAGGACCGACCACAACCACAGTGGACAAGCTCGGGTGCCTTCTGTGACTCTCCTATGGGTGTGCCTTTTGTGGAGCTAATTGGGTGGTGCTCTCTGGTGGCTGGAAGCCAGGCCCTGGGCTCTCTGATCACGTGGACTACCTTTCAGATGGCGCCAAAAGGCAAGAAGCCTAAGAGGAGAACCTGGCAGTTCGGTTTGGACCTTACTCATTTGGTAGAAGACAGAACTTTGGATTCTGGAAAATTTGAACAGTTTCTATGGGAGTAGGTTAAAGTCAATGGAAAACCTGGAAATCTTGGGAATGTTGTTCACACTGAATGCTTCAAGAATAAAATCACAGTGGTTTCTGAGAAACAGTTCTCTGAAAGATATTGGAAACAGCTTACCAAGAAATACCTTACGAAGAACGGCCTTCGTGATTGGCTCCATGTGGTTGCCCCTGACGAGGAGGCTTAGGAACTTTGTTGCTTCTGTACTTTGTGGACTGACCCACATGAAGACAGATCTCAGTCTGGGGATTAGAGGAAGCCACCCTTCACAGGACTTTGCTTAATAATAAAATAAATGAGTGCACGAGAGAAAGAAACCTCTACAAATGGACTTTTAGTTTATCAGTGAATTAAAAAAAAAACAAACACTGCACTCTGTGAAGCCAGGCACTGGGTGTGTTGGTTCTGGGGCTTCTTGGGAGGGGCTCGGGTGCAGTCCAAGTTCAGACGCCGACTGTGCTGGGCGTGGGCCACCTGTTAGGAGCTATAAGGCAATTCACGGTTGGTAGCTGCTCGTGCTGGGTCCAAAGGCACGTGAGGGAAGCCACACTGCGAACCAAAGCCAGCTGCTCCCAGTGCCAGGCCTGGAGCCACTCAGCAAGAAGCACAGGGCACTCCAGGGACAGCCACTGCCTGCCTGGGGCCTGTGAACCTTTGATAGTTTTAGGGAAGTCTGCGCGGGCTGAGGCCGGCTGCCTATGAGGAACAGCCCCCGAGAGACGCAGGTGGTGCACCAGGTGGGGGGGCGGGCTCAGATTTGGCGCTCCCCTGTACCTGCAGGTTGTGTGGCAGGAGGGCTCAACACAGGAACAATGGAGGCTGCCCCTCCAGCCCTTGTCTTGAAGCTACACAATTCAGGTTCTCCCCATACGTCTCTGGTGCCTTTTGAGCCGCTCTCCCTTTGCTGGGACTTAGGGTGAGTGTGAGCGAGTGAGTCTGTGTGTGGGCCCATCAAGAGGATACCTGGGTTTCCAGAAGCCCTCTAGCTCACCTGGACAGAATCCCTGCTGATTTTCAATGCCAGATATTGCGAGGAGTCATCTTCCCGTGCCCCACAACTCCCCAGCCTGGTTGGGGCTGGAACCCCTCATTCCTTAGGAGGGACCTCCACAGAGGAGTGAACACTCTCGATTCCAACCACCCCACGTGGGTGGGGGACCAGCCCATTTTGCATCTCCACCCCTCCTACCAGTCTCCACATGGCTTCCTCTTCATATCCTTAGTTATAGGAGTTCCGTTCAGCTAGTCTTCACATGGTTCTCCAGGGTGATTGTTCTATCATTTAGTTATAGTTTAGATGTGGTTCTGGGAGGAAGTGAGCACAGCGTGTACTTATTTAGCCATCCTGACCAGAAGGTATCATGCAACACATTCTTAAAAGAGAGTAAGGGTGGTGTTTCAGATTAATTGCTGTAAGAAGTAGTCCAACTTGATTCATGCATTCTAAACATATTTTACAAATGCATAAAAAATAAAAACAGTAGCCTACTCTTTGCCCCGCACAATTTCAAGTGTGGGTTATAGGTATGAATGCAACCCGGTCCCTGAGGAGCCTCTGCTGTTGGCCTTCTGCAATTCCGGGCCACTTCTCCACTTCCGGGCTTGGATGAGCTGCCACACAGTGAAGAGCGGGGTCTGCTTTCCTCTGTGGCCCACAGAGGATTATCATAAACCTGGGGAGCAATCGCTCTGGGCATTTTGGAGAAGGCTGCAGGGAAGGGATGAAATTGAACATAGAATGATGAAACCAAATGAGTGGGATGGGACAAAATCCAACATAAAAAGCACAGCATTTAAAAAAGAAAACGACGCTAGAATACAAACTAACACATGGCCAGACGGAGGTGTAGAGTTAAATTTCGTCGATCCTGAAGCTTATCAAATTTGGGGGACTCCGGTAATACAAAGAATAAAAACTTAAGAATAGAAAATTTGGTACAAAAAATATGTATCTATTGAAAATGAGAACTACCTCACAAAAAGATATAAAATTTATACAAACAATATAAACTTCAAAAATACCACAAGAAAACATTAATAAACTGCCTGACATGCCTTGATAAGACTGTTTTCTTCTACATTTTTAAACTGCACACCCCTTTACTGAGGTGTAGTTGACAATTAAAAGTTGTATATACTTAAGATGTACACCTTGATGACTTGATTTGTATATACACTGTGAAACATTCACCCCAATCAAGGTAATTAACATACCCACACCTCATCTCTCCTTGTGTGTGTGTGTGTATATTGAGAAGACTTAAGAAATATCCTGTTAGCAAATTTGAACTATATGATATAACACAGTTAACTAGAGTCCCATTATTGTGCAGTACATCACCAAACCTTATTTATCTTGCATAACTGAAACTTTATGCCCCTTCAGCAACATATCAAATTCCCCTAGCTGCATACCCTTCTTCAATTTTGTAATTTTGTAACATGTTTTCCATGAGAAGGATAGCAATGCACTTCATGTGCCAGAGAGTTTGCCGTGTGTCACTACTACAGGCTTGTGTCCTTACTGATAGAGGAATTCACGTCAATCTTATTGCATGTGACCTCCTCCCAAAATTGATGGCACATTCACAATCGATCGCATATGCTGCATATATTCCTGACGGGAGAGAGCTTCCGTTTCGGCTGGGGGCAGTTGGCACAGTGGAACCCTCTCTAACAATACCCAGTCTGTTACGACGGAAAGAATTGCCACAGACTGGCATGGGGCTCCCTCCATCTCAAACCCTGTTTGCTCTTTTGCTGCTGGGACCTTACCGTGCTGGGGAACACAGGACAGTTCAGAGGTACACCAGCACGACCTCACAGAGGGCAGCAGGTGCATTGCCGGTGGCCATTCCTACACTTGGATGGCTGGCCCTCACGTAACTCCACACGGCACTGGAAACCACATGATTCTATCTCATCAGGGTCAGGGCGAGGGAGAAGCAAGCGAGGTGCCTGAGGCTCACAGCTGAAAGGGGTGCTCCTTCTCAGGGTCAGGCGAATGCAAGGCTGACCCCCTTAAATTTTATTCCCGCCATGCCTCCCTTCCCTCACCCTAGTCCTGGCCCTGTGTCCGTTGAACCTAAGGAAGCGTCTCCCAACTGCGCTTTCCTTGACTGATCCCTAAAATAAACACTGCCACTTCAAAGCCAAGCAATATGAGGGGAAGTTAGCGTGGCAAGAAACAGTGGACTTAACAGGGGATGATTAAACGTCATTATTTTGCAAAATTTACAAAAACAGAACCATATGTTCACACTGCTAGGGTCCGCAGGGCCTTGGGAAGAGTTCTTTGCAGGTGAGGGGTTCTGGATTCAGCAGCCTCTGATAAACCCCTCACCTCTGCCCTGGGACCACAGCCGGACTTCCGAGCAGGAGTGTATCCCAAGAGCTTATCTTTGCTTTCGGGACATTAAGAGCCTAGACTCTGAAGCTGGACTATTTGAGTTTGAAGCTAGTTTGTGGCACCTAAACATCGTCCTTAATGGCTCTGTGCCCCGGATTTTCTTGGCTGATACCCATAGCACGGGTTTAAGTAATGTTAAGATTAAAGGAATTAGTTCATGCAGAATGCACATAATAAAAGCTCAATATTTATTAGCTATTGTCATTTTTATTATTAGTTGTAGTACTAGTATTTGTACCCCCTCCCCGCCACCGTAACCCCATAAGGAGACTAGGTGTCCCAACAGGGCTCAAAGAAGCTTCCTTGTTTTCTGAATGGACTGTTGTCTACACGTAAGAGAAGGTAGACAGGAAGTTGTCAAAGAGAAATGATTGTTTTTTTTCAGATAATATTGTCTCCAAATTGCATTTAGGTCAATGAAGGAATTGGGGCCATAAAGAAATGTGCTGGTTTATGGCATGCAAAAGGGAAAGTCAAAGAGCATTAAGAATGGACTTGTCATCCTTTGCTCCCAAATGAAAAAGAATAAATTATTTTAGAAGAAAAAATCACAGGATGATTTTTTTAAAAAAAAAGACACAATGGACTTTTTTTTTTTTTCCTTTAAAGTTGCCTGTTAATTCAGTCTCCTTTAGACCACATGTTCCCACAAGACACTTCACTCCCACCTTGGGTGGGGCGCTGTGGCCAGCGGGTCCCGCCGCACAGGCTCCGATTGGGAAGAGGAGGTGGGGGCGAGGGGGCCAGGGGACGAGTGGCGGAGGGACCAGGAGGAAGCTTAGGCTTCCCGCCCACGTGGGCGCAGCGAGGCGGAACCACCACCTGGGTCGGTCGAGCGGTGGTGTCGCTCTCTCGGGAGCAGGGGCGAGGAACCTGCCCTGGGACAGCGCGGCCCCTTCAGGCGCCGCACACCGGAGAGTGTTCGCGCGGGGAGGGTCGGTCCCGGGAGCGGGTGTTCCGAGAGCCACAAGCCCGCGACCGGGGTCCCCGCCTGCCCGGCGCGGCACCGCCTCCTCAGCGGGTGCAGGCGCCCGGCGCGCAGGTGGGGGCGCTGTGGCCTCGGCGCGGGGACCGAGCCTGCGAGTCAGACCCGCCTCCTTCCCCTCCCCGCCCGCCCCCCACGCGTCGTGTCGCCGGAAAGCCGGGAGGAGACAGAGCTCTCGGGCTCCACGGCGCTCGGCCCGCAGTCCTCCGATCGCGCGGAGCAGAGCCGGTTGCGACGCCGGAGCACAGGATCGCTACCCTCCCCGGCCGCCTTTGTCTGGGAGCTGTGCAGCCTGGAACCGCGGCTCTCGGGGGCCGGGGACGCGCCCACAGCGGTCGGTGACAGCTCCTCCCTCCCGGAGGCTCCGGGACGGAGGGGCGGTTGTGCCGGGCCCTGCTCGCCCGCGCCTGCACATCCACGAGCTCGGACCGATGCCCCCACAGCAGGGGGACCCCGCATTCCCCGGCCGCTGCGAGGCGCCGCCTGTGCCGCCCCGCCGGGAGCGCGGGGCGCGTGGGGGGCGCGGGCCCGGGGCGCCCGGGGGCCGGGGTCGCGCGGGCGGCGCCGAGGGGCGCGGCATCAAGTGCGTGCTGGTCGGCGACGGCGCGGTGGGCAAGACGAGCCTGGTGGTGAGCTACACCACCAACGGCTACCCCACCGAGTACATCCCCACCGCCTTCGACAACTTCTCGGGTGAGCCAGCCCGCGGGGCGGGGGCTGCGGGGAGGGCGCAGGGCCGCCGTCCGCGGACGCGGTGCTGATCGACCCTGTGCGAGAGGAGGGAGGGGGCGCGAGGGGCGCGGGGACCCGAGGGGCTGCAGGACCTCGGGCCCGCCTCCTGCCGGGAATCGGACCGAGTGCGGAGTGCGGGACGGTCCCCGACATTTGGGGGCCGGGGAAGCGCGGAGAGACTGGAGAGCCCTAAACCGGAGCCCGAGTCAGAGCCTGAGCAAAAGGAAAAGGGCAGAGCGGGAATCAAACAGGTCGAGTTCAGGTTGCCCGGTCAGTTTGCCGCGCAGAGAAAGTTGCGTCAGGTCGACGCTGCTGGCGCCGCTGCTGAGTTTCACAAGGAAGGTGAAGCGCAGGTGCCATTACCTGTGGCCCTTAGTGTCAGGTCCTTTTTCCTTTGCACGGCTCCTCTCGAAAAGACAACTCCACTTTAAAGGGCCGCGGAGACCGCGGAAAATAGTTGAGTTAGTGAAAACAGAACTAGCGGCCCTGGTGAAGGCTTAGGTTTGGATTAAGCCTGGAGAGGAAACATGCTTTCTTTCTTCTGAGTCCCCCTCCGCGGCCCGACTGCCCCCCGCCCCCACCGCCTCCGTGGGCTGTTTCTGATTCTTAGCATCTTTCACTATCTCTTTACGCTCTTCAAAGCTCTTGTATCTGGGGTGCTTTGTCATTTGGTTTGGTAGACGCAAAGATAAAGGAATCCTTTATCTTGATTTTTCAGGTCTTTTTGAAATTTAGGAAAAAGTAAAAATCCACAGAAGCTAGTGTGAATCAATCTCTCTGGGTTGTTTTTTTTTTTTTTTGGAATGCTTTTTGATCTCTTAGAAAGTCATGATAGCAAGGACATGTTTTCTTCCATCTCAAAGTTATCTAGATAAGCTGGGCTATGCTAATGGGTATCCCACCTAAATAATAGCATTGTTTTCTTACCATTTTTGGGGGGAGGATCCCACTGACTAGTATAAATATTTATAAACAATCTAGAAAGTTATATTGAGACAGAACGGAGTGCTCAGTTCAAGTAGAACCTTCCAAGCCTGGTGCAATGCAGGTCCCTCCAGGGAGAGGCCCTCCGGGTGGAAAGGTGGGCTCACCGTCTTTCTCTCTCCTTTTTCTTTTCTTAATCCTCCCTTTGAGCCCAGCGGAGAGATAAGCGGTGCTCTCTTCTACACACAGGACAATGCAGGCAGCCAGTGTTTGCACATGTTCTCAAAACAAGCTACAGTTTTACGATAAACCCTGAAGTCTCAGGACTGTTTCCCAAGGGAAAACAATTATTTGTGAGGTTTCCCACTGATTTAAAGCTGAAAGGTTGGTTCCCGCTTACCACCCCTTCCCCCCACCGGGGTTGTTTTTAGGTCTTTTGAAATTAGTGTGACAGGAAAATAAATCTTCTGAACCAGGAGGCAAACCCAGGCCCTTCTGGGGTCCATCAAAGGCTCAGGGATTTGCTGCCTCATCAGTAGCGATGGATGGAGTTGTCAGCCCTGGAGGGAGTTTACAAAAATGCCTCCTTGTGCTAGGCACGTCTTTAATTCAGTAGGGGACCCAGAGGAGGAGCAGAAGGGTTTGGGTGGGTAGACGGGTGCAGGCTAACACTATCCCTCTTTGGAAAGTGGTTAAGAGACACCCTTCTGATCGTCATTCTGGTCTTGTTTTTAAGCTGTGGTGTCCGTGGATGGGCGGCCCGTGAGACTCCAGCTCTGTGACACCGCAGGACAGGTCAGTATCATGTCGCTGCTCAGTGCTGGGAAAGGAGGCGGCCTTGGAAAGGTCTCCAAATAACCTTCCTCAATAGTGGGTAATTCAGCCCCATGAAGTAGCCTTGCCCCTGCCTTTGGACCCCCTCTCCCAGGCTGGGGGTGGGGGAAGCCGCCCCGCACTAATAAAACCGGGTGTGGCCAGCTTGGCATGGGCAGGAAAGTAGGTCAAGAACAGTTCTTATCTCACGGGAGCTTCTGATCTTATTTACTTTCTGGCTTTTATTAAAAATGATCAATGATGCTTTGTAGTCGTTGCTCAAAGTAAGTTGGTAATATCTTATAGTCAATTTATGAAAGGTCACCAAGACACATGTTTAAGACATTGCTCAAGAAGAGGGAGTTTATGTCAGTGAGTGTTACCGGTTCCCTTCCTAAGCTGTGCTTTGGCTCACTGGGGCTACCGCTACCCGTCCCTTGAAGCAGAGACGCAGTGGCCGGAGCCGTCCTGAGCTGGCTGAGGGGCTGAGCTGGAACTCAGTCTTTCACATTCTTGTGCCAAGGGCCACGAGGCAGCCAGGGAGTGTGATAGGAAAGGCGTGGGTGTGTAGTCCCCGCGGGGCCCCCCCACCCCCCACCCCCGAGCACGGTGCTCAAGTCACTGGAGTTTCTGTTCTTTGTAGAACCCAGCTGCCATCTCTTGAGTCTGCCTAAGTGACAGTGAATGTTATTACAGGTATGCGAGAGCCAGGCCTTCTAGAGTTGGGGAAAGAGCCAGGGGCTGCTTTGTGGGTATATAAAGTGTGTACCCAGTGCCCAGTGCCTCCACTGAGCCAGGGCTGCCAAACTGCTTGCCTACCCTGGGGCAGCCAGTTCAGGGCTTTATTTCTCGAACTTCAAGGCATCACCTCCTGGGCGGCCTGGCTCCGCGGCTGAACGCCTTGGGGTGGGGAGGGGCACAGCGCCCTGAGTGGTAACCAGCCTCCCTTGTTCTGGCTGTACCCCACCCCCCGGAGCACGTTGGCTTCTCCTGCACCAGGAGCAGAAATAAACCAATAAACGGCGACCTCCCCACTGAAGCAAGAAGGGGAGCTTAATAGCCTGAGAATAAGATGGAAGATAGAAAAACACAAGAAACGAAAAGGCATGGTTATCAGGGACTCGTTAGGGGCGGAGCAAGGAGCGCTGTGCGCACCCTGCCCATCACCTGTGATGGGTTGGTTCTCCTGGGTGAGTTTACACCTGGTGTCTGTGCAGTGTCTGGCACGTAGTAGGGGTTAATCATGGTGAATGAATGGAGCTCTAGGTTCTGAGGATGCAGACTTAGTCATGGGCCTGCCCCCTCAACACACATTCTACAGGGAAGACAAACCAGTTAGTGGAACTTGTGAAAGAAATGAGAGAAGTGACGTAAATAGGAAAGCGACATTTTGTGAGGTGCAGGACAGGTGGATCCAGGAGGAAAACCTCAGAGCAGGTGTGAAAGGGGAATAGGGCTTTTACCAGGAAAAAAGAAAAGCTTCGTAGAAATGATCCTGAATTATCAAGGAAGAGTGATTTTTTTTTTTTTAATCATGGTCTGTTTAAAAGTCAGAGAAACACAAAATCATTTTAGAAATATTTTCATAAAAGTTGTTTATATTAGGGGAATAAAGAGTTTGGGTGCCAAGTGGGTAAGCTATGGTTTATTTGGAATTTACTTTTCTCATCTCCCAGCAATGTTTTCATTGAGATTTATTATATTTCTTGCCTGATGTACTAGTTAGCAAAGTATACCCTATTATGTAATGAATGAGGCCACTATCTAAAGATTTGTAGAAAACCAGCTCTAAAAACTACCTATGAAAAATACACAGCTGGTAAGATAAAGGTTATTTTTTTCCTGCTCCCAAGTATCAATTAGTATTGGTTTTGACTATTAGCAAAGCTGGCCAAGGTGATTATCCTATTCCAACCCCTCCAGAGCTGATAGACTGCCTCTTAAGGGACTTGACTTGACTCCAGCCATATTTGCTTAATGTGACTCATCCAATGGAGCTCCCCTCCTCCAGGCAGCCCTCCCGATAGCCTCATGGTTTACAGTAAATCAAGCCACCTCCTCTTCTTCCAACTGCAGCAGAACGTGAGTGCAGGCAGCATAGCCTGGGGCCCCAGGGCAGGCTCCATAGAGAAGCTCAGAGCAAGAACACAGCTCTATTGGCTGGATAAATCACTAATGTTGCTTCTTGTACCTTTGGGTTTTCTAGTGAGGGAGGGTAGGTGAGTCTATAAGATGTTAAAAGGAATTTTTAACACTGCACTCACAGTCTTACCAAGTGAAAATTGATCAGAGACTGAGCACTTCAAAAAACATGCCTTTGGCATGAGAGAAATGGGTATCACCGTAATAAGACTAGTTCATTGTAGCGTTGCCAATAGGAGCTGAAAATTCTTCAGTCTTGTGACCCATGAGGCACTTGGGAAGACCTGTATATTAAAAAAAAAAAAAAAAAAAAAATCAGGTTGCAGCTTGACCGACACTACTCTCCTGTGGCCTGCCTGCCGGGCCCTGCCCCGGAACCAGATCCTCCCCACGGGCCTGGCCCAGGCATGCAGACTGCGGGCCGCAGAGCGCATGTCCCGCAGGGTGCATTACTGTTGGTCTCATCGCACGTGCGTGTGTTGTGTTTAGTTCAGCAAATATCTAAGGTTTCCAGTCGGGCGGTGAGCAGGAGGGCTTCATTTCTGCTTCGCCTCCCAAACCCCTTAGTCAGAATCTGCAGAGGTCCAGGAAGCCAGATTTCCAAAGCTCCGTCACGAGGCCTGGCCCCTGGGCTGGCCTTTCTTTTTATTGGTAATGCAACCCCAGATTCCAGGGCTCGGCCAGGGGTGACTGCTTCCCCGCAGCGCGGCGCAGCTGCCTGAGAGGGCCGGCCTCACCCCAGCTCGGCTTTATGCGTCTTCCTTTGAGGCCACTGAGAACAGAAGGAGGTTTCATGAGCACAGCCGCGGAGCAGAGCCTCATCTACCTGGCTGAGTTTCTGTGTTTATTCTCTCAGCACAAAGTTGGCACTGAGAAACCCTGGCTGTTCCTCTTTGACTTTTGCTTCTGGAAGACTGATGAGGGGCAGTGATGTTCTGAAATGCCATAGTCGCTCCCGATCTGGTTAGCTGGTCGGTTTGAATATTGTCAGGGGGCGGTCGTGCCACAGTGGGAATATAGAGCCTCAAATGAAGAAAGAGTGTTCAAATAAAACACATCCAGGTTTCTTTATTCCTAGAAAAGAAATGGGTGCAGAATAATGTGCATGTGACTAGTAGTTCTTAAATAATCAGAGCATGCCAGTTAGTAACAACAACTGAACGACATTGAACTTTCCCTTTTGCCACCGGGAAATTATCTGCCACATTACACCTGAGAACCGTTGGTGCCCACAGGTAGAAATTTTAAATGGGAATGTGATGATGTACATATTTTCCTATGAGAGAGTCGAGTGAAGGTTTTCAATTAGCTGAACACAGTACCACGGGAGAACTCTAGGGTGTTAGATATAAAAATACCCCAATTTGGAGACAGATATTTCTCTTAGAGCCGAGGCCATGTCTGCGTGTTCCTGGCTGAACCCCAGGCCCTGCACAGTGCCTGCCATCCATCAGGGATTCTTCGAAGAGGGAGACTGCAGGAGCATGCCGGTTGCTCTGCATAACCAACTCATACCTATTTCTTCCAGGTCTCTATTCTCTAGAGTAGAACGGTAAGCCCTTTCTCAGGTCCTTTATCTTCCCACAGCGCCGTGAGTGGAGGCTTTGGGAAGATAAAGATATGGTGCTGGCAGAAAAACCAGGACAAAGGAAGTAACAGAAAGGAAAGAAGGAGGAGAAAGGAGGTGATAAAGCAAGCAGAAAGAGGTGCATCAAGCAAAAATGAGATTGTATGAACCAATGTTGTAAATGACATTGGGAGGCACCGGTCCTGCGTGTTGTTGAAGAGAGTGGCCCAGGAAGGTCTTCAGCTTCCATTCGCATCTCTCCTTGGGTCTGATGAGCTCCAGCTTCTGCGGCGCCCTGGTGCGCACAGTGCAGGTGGCATGAAACGGACCCATCTCGCCACTGCCATGAGAATGGGCAGGGCCGGACCAGTAAAGAGAGGAGCTGTGATCGTAGACAGGGGCTCCCCGGGGCCAGTGGGAACCTTGGGGATCCACGTAGACGTGCTGTCTGCGTTTCAGAAGAGTTGCTCGGGTAATCTGGCCTGAAGGCTAACGTAAATTTTATTTCTAAAACTCATCTAATTCAAGTACTTTTTCTATAGTAAGTTATAAGTAGGTCATGCACATTGATGAAAACTTGAGTGCACTCGGCAGATTTTAGACATTGTGGAGCGTGGGCCCCACTTAGGTGAACACAGCAGGTTCCTTTCTAAGACATGGGCTCATCTTTCTGTAACCAGTGGCCTTTCCATTACCTGTGAGACCTTTCCACAAAAGGCGTGAAGATGGTCTTTTTTTGCTGGTGAGATGGATTTTAAAAATACTTTTGGGTGCTTCTGTTGCAGGATGAGTTCGACAGACTCAGGCCTCTCTGCTATACCAACACGGACATCTTCCTGCTGTGCTTCAGTGTGGTCAGCCCCTCCTCCTTCCAGAACGTCACCGAGAAATGGGTGCCTGAGATTCGGCGCCACTGTCCCAAAGCCCCCATCATCCTCGTTGGGACTCAGTCAGATCTCCGAGAAGATGTCAAAGTCCTCATTGAGTTGGACAAGTGCAAAGAGAAACCGGTGCCCGAAGAAGCGGCTAAGTTGTGTGCTGAGGAGATCAAAGCCGCCTCCTACATCGAGTGCTCGGCCTTGACTCAGAAAAACCTCAAAGAGGTCTTTGACGCTGCCATCGTCGCTGGCATTCAGTACTCGGACACGCAGCAACAGCCAAAGAAGTCCAAAAGCAGGACTCCAGACAAAATGAAAAACCTCTCCAAGTCCTGGTGGAAGAAGTATTGCTGTTTTGTATGATGCTAGCAAGGAACCCAGAAAGACTTCTCAGATGAAATCGATATTAGAAGCTATATTAGCTACAAGGACTCCTTTTACTGCGTGCAACCTGTATAGAGAATGTCTGCGCATATCCTGGGGGGAGGAGGGGGGGCTCTCCATTTATGTATTCTTCTTGCCTTTGATTTTCTTGTTGTTTGTCTGAGTTTAGGGATGAGACCCTTATGCAACGTATTTTTGAAGTAAGTTAAGCATTTTTCATAGTGTTGGAAATTTAGAGCTCTAGACCTTTGGATTGATTTATATCTAATAGGAAAAAGACACCTCAAATCTCGGTGTCAAGAATGAAATTTTGCTACATTTTCATTTACAGAATGAAATGGTCTAGTTGACTGTCCCGTGATGAAGGACTACTCAATGCACAGGCCAACTGTTGCGAGAACAACTCTTAGCTTTGAAAGTCCATATACTTTCTCTTTTTTCTTTTAAGGAGCAAAAATCAGAAAAAAAAAAAAAATGAGAGACTTCTGCCTACAAAACCTCAAACCAGCCACTATGTTAATATTTGGTTGCTGAAGATTTAAAAATAACCAACACAACCGACTCACTAACTCTGTAGCACCATATAGATCTAAAAGAAACTATTGTTTAGTGGGATTTTCCAGTTTTAGACCATTTATGTTGATGCTGTAGAAACATAGCCCTTGCCTCATATGGACCAGAGCAAGTGTTAGTCAGTAGCCCTTACATATTCTTAGGGAGTGATTCACCTTGAGATCAGAGTTGATGTTAGCTGTTAATACATGCGCACCACGCTACCGGAGCATTAGCAAGCACCTGTCGGAATTGTTTTTAGAGTTCTGTACTTAAGTTGTCCCTTCTGCCGGGATGTGAACGCTCTGGAAAGACCTGCCGCAAATGCTTGTGGGACACAAAAGGTACTTTTTTCTTTAAGTAGCCCCAACATACTTGTACACGCACACACACATATATGGCTGTATTTGCTGCTGATTCAGACTTTCAAACAGTGAATGGGGAAATTCATGGTCACAAACGCAGATCAGAGGAAGCGTGGCTTCCTCTTCTGGTTAACACTTTTGGGAACAGATTTCTTTATGCTCACACTCCATGACTTGCAGGGTATCTGAACACATTTTTGAGACCATCTTAAAACAAAACATGAACATCTCTCAAAACCTGTTTTAAAATCTGTTAAAACAACCAGTTGAATCCACAGCCTTTCAGGGAAGTGACAGCGGAGAGCAGCGCTGCAGGTCAGGGGTTGCGGTGCCGGCTGCGGCCACCACGCAGGGGTGTGCAGGGACCTCCGCTCCCGTGCGCGGCTGCGCCCTCACTTTCAGGCAGTTAGAAAACCACGTATCTGTGAAACACCCATACTCTCCAAGGGGGCAGTTTTTAGGGCTAAATCTTCTGGAGGATTACATTGCCACGCCGTGGGTGTCCTTCCGAGATACCAAAAGGTAGTCTAACCCATTGAATCGTAACATCAAGCTTGTAGTGGGGGAAGCAGATTTACCAAAATCAACCTACTGACAAATCTCTGTAAAGCCAGCGGATAGAAGAGTTTTATCTTTGGGTCTTGTGTTGTCTTTTTTATGTTTAAAAAAAAAAAAAAAGCCCACGTGTGTTTTTCCATAGAAAAAAGTAAAAGATTAGGTAATACTTTAGGGGCTTCTTTTATTTCTGTTAGTAAATAAAATTAACTAATTTCTCTGTTTAAAAATGAAAATACATAGACTATTATTATTTATTTTTCAATACATTGACATGGATAGCGGTCAGAATTTCCTAAAGGGTTGAGCTGTAAACCGTAAAGGGAATAAAATTGCTGTCTTTGTGGAAGGGCCCCAAAAGGAACTAAGGAAATGCGTCCTAAGCGAACGTGCCCGCTCCCCTACCTGTGGGAAGCCAGCTGCCTGGGCTGGCTCCAGCTGCCCTACTGTACAGAGGTGGGCGGTGGTGGGTCGTTACCTGACTGGTCAGTCATTTTAAACAGTACTTTATATTGAAACAAATGTCATGGAGTTGGACGCAAATTAATTTCGAAGACAGAACACGACACTTGAAAGAAGTTGTACGCACATGATAGCGTGCGTGGGGCCGCTCTACGTCCCCCTGGGAGCGGCTTTGGCAACTTCTGCCTGTCGTCCTGGGTGGGAAGTGGTTAGTGAAGAACTCCCGTGGGGTCCAGTGCTGAGAGCTTTCCAAGGGGTTTATTTGTAACCCAGTTTGAGACAACCTGTGCCATTAGCTGCTAAACCCTTAGGGGATTGGCATTTAAACGTCATTTAAACGCAACAGTGTTTAATACGATGCTGCATTTTAGAGAATACAAAGGTACAATTGATTGTTCTCAATGGTTTCCACTATTCTTATTTCTCTGTGAAAAAAAGAGATGTGGGCAGAAAGTTTTGAAAAGTCTGTGCTTGAGTTAGATGCACAGAGTTGCTATACTCTGAAGCTTACACGTTGTTAAACTTGAAACTTGGTTATCGCAGAGATTTCAGTAGAGTCGTGCTTCAGAAAATGCCACTTTAGCTTACCTCCTCCAGTGTAGGCTGGCTAAAATTTAAAAATACAATATATTCTAGAACTGTCTTACGTCTCTTTACCGTGTATGTGGATACGAACCTTTCGGATGTTCTTTATGCCTCACAGACTTTTTAAAGAGAAACCGCCCAGGTATTGTAGAAGCCAAGAGGACGAATCTCCTCCTAGACTGTCGTCACCTGGTGCCTTACCATGTTGTCCTTTCACGTTTCAAGTGTAATGACAGTGAGCAGAGCATTGTCCTTGCCAATGCTGTATGTGAGGTGGTGTGAAATAAATTCTGACCTGTGGATAGAACTGCATTTGCCTTTCCTCCAAAAGAACTTCACTGGAAGGGAATAAAAGTTCGGCCACACGGAGAAGCAGGATGTCTGGGAAGCATTGCACATGGCCTGCCCAGGGGCATTTTGGGAATACAGCCCCAACCAGCATTAAACACCTCTTCAGTGTGGGATTTTGAGAATCTAGGCTCACGGCCTGATGTAAGAACTCTCTGGCTCTTCATCTGTGATGGACGGGGGGCTGGTGTCCCTGCGTAAGGCAGGAGCACTGTTCTTGAGCCAGAGGTCCAGGCTCAGAGGAGCACTCAAAACTAGGTCTGAGCCTCAGTTTCCTGGTGTGTAAACAGCAGTGCATATGCAAACATCTGTACATGCGGGTACATGTCCAAGATTGCTGCTGGTTGGGGAGGGGATGAGAGGTCAAAGGCGCCATGAACCCCACATCTTTAAAGATCAGCAGGGCACAGGGTGCGCCATCGCCGATGGCGCTGGGAGGTGCCCCGTGTTGCGTGTGTATTCTCAGCTTCTTGGGGTCAGTCTTGTCATCATGCCACCAGAGGCAGCCCTTACACCAGGGGCTCCAGGGAATGTGGCCTCGGGGACCGGACCGTGCAAAGGGGTTAGTTATTAGCCCATTTCCGCCCTCCAGCCTCACAGTGGTGGACCATGCTCCTGGTCATCTTAGTAAAGGACGGGTCTGTCCACTTTATTCCCTACAGTGGCTCTGAGGCTGGGCTGTGACTTCTCATATCCATGCAAACGTAAGCACAGTGCACTGGAATGCTGTGCAGAGAGCAACTAAAACCCACTTGCTCATGCCCTGAAATGTTAAAAGCCAGCTTGTCCTCATTGGCTCCCACGGGGCCGCCTGATCCTAGCCGGGGAGACCCGGAGGTTCCCCTCACCCAGCCTCAATCCTGCCTCCCACATCCTGGACAGGCCTTCCCAGGATGCATTGACAGGGGCCCTGTCCCTCCAAAGGCAGTCAGGGAGGGCTTCGTGGGGGAATGCAGATGACCCGAAGGAAGCGAGGGAATAAGAAGTATGTGGAAGGAAGGTTTCTGAAAGGAACGGCAGGTGCAAAGGCCCTGAGGCAGAGGAATGCCTGACGTGTCCTGGAAGCCCGTGTGGACAGGCCAGGAATGCAGAGGTGGGGCGCAGGACATGACATCAAGGAGGGAGGGGATGGTGGCCACGGGAAGGAAGGGGAGGAGAGGGCGGGGCTCCTGAGTCAGGCAGCTTGAGCTTGAATCCCCACTGAGCCTCTCACCAGATGTGGTTCCTTCAGCTGCTTAACCTCTTAGCCTCCCTGTGTCTACGCTTTCAAATCTGCAAAGGGAATAGGCATGGCGCCTACCCCAGTGGGCTGGGGAGTTACGAAGCGCTCATGCACCCTAAGCGCTCCGTGAATGTCCACTCTGATTGGCTTTGTTGCAAGGTTCTGTTCATTTCTTTCCCAGCAAGACCCCTAGCTGATCGATCCACTTACAATTGGCCCCCGATGGCTTTCATCTTCAACTCTATCAAGTTTTATGAGGCATTTGTTTTTTAAGGATAATAATGCACTCATTTTTTTTCATTTCCGCTCGTGCTTCTAAAATAAGGGCAAAATAATATAAATTAGTCTGGTAAGTTCACAGTCCGACTATGTAGTAGATGCTGCTATCTGAGCTGGTGGGGCTGCCCGGGACCACCTGCCCATGAGGAGAACCTATGTGCTGGCCCCGCAGATGGTGAGCTGGATTTAGCCAACAAAGGCGGAGTGGGCTGTGAGGGCAAGGCAGCAAAGGTACAATCAGGGGAATCTCTGTGTTTTCCAGCTCTAACCCGGGGTGTTCCTTGACTCCTTTCATGCAAGAAGTTCTTGCTCCAGACCAGCATCTTCATGGTTTTGTGAATCTAGAGCCATTTTTAAAGTCATCATTTATTAGTCTGAGTCACCCAACCACAGTTGCCTCATCTCCCATATAATGTGTAATCCTAACCATAAAACCAAGTTGCGATGAGATACAATTTGAACGTGGAAGAGGGATGTAGCTGGGAGCCTGAGGTTTATCTCTAAAAAGAAGATACATTCTGGAGCAGAACATCACATTTCCATTAATTCTCCTCCTGAACGTCCTACAGGTACTTAAAATTGAACTCGTTCTATTAGTTTCCTATCACTGCCATAAGGAATTACCTCCAACACAGTGGTTTAAAACAACACAGATTTCCTTCCCTTGTAGTTCTGGAGGTGAGAAATCTAAAATGGGTCTCACCGGTGATAAAGTCTACAACAGAGACCTTAACTGAGACAGAAATCTAGAGGACCTATGGGAGGAGCTAAGATGTGGGGGAGGAGCTAGGACCTGTGGGAGGAGTTAGAACCTGTGGAAGACGCAAGGACCTGTGGGAGGAGCTCTCACTCTCTGTCGTCCCGAGAGGCCTGTAACAGGAAGAGTTTGGGGTTCACAGCAGAGTTCCAGGGTTGTACCTGTCCCTCCCTGAAATTCCTCTTCTCCCAGTTCAACACATGCACGTGATGGCTCACCGTGGCTGCATGGATTGCATTGCAGTCCTTTCTTTTCCCCCCAAATAAACCCTTCTGGGGATGGAACACTTAGTTGATTTTGCTCTCTGGTTGACGTTGGGCTAAAATCAAAGCGATGACAGAGTTGCGTTCTTTTCTGGAGACTCGGGGCTGGGGCCCGTTTTCTTGCTTCTTCCAGCTCTAGAGCCCACCCACGCTCCTGGGCTCCTGATCCCTCACCACCAGCAGTGGCTGGTCAAGTCTTTCTCACAGGGCAGCCCCTTGACACTTCTGGGTCCTATTCCATAGCTAAGTACGCTTATTACTACACTCGCCCACCCAGAGAGCTCACGCTAACGCCCCATGTCCAGGCCAGCAGATTAGAAATCGCTATTCCATCTCCAGCCTTAATTCTTCTTTGCCATGCATCCTACATAGTCACAGGCATAGGACATAGATGTCTCTGGGGGCCACTCTCTTGCAGGCCACAGTGCTCGCCTGAAAGTCAGCTCCTTGCTCCCCAATACGAGCTTCCCATGTGCCTGAACGCGCTTTTTCCTAGCGAGTGCTCCGAACACACCCCGACAGCTATGCTCTCGTCCAGACCAGAACTCTGTCATCAACCCGGACTTCCTGTCCTGCATGTTCACATCTAACTGGCTACCACGTCCCTCGGTCGGGCATTATCTTCGCCGCCCTTCTCCTCACCCACGCCATCGCAGGAATTCAGATACACCTCATCTTCCTCCAGCCTTCTTCCTGTCTCCTCCTCCAGCCTGGCCAACGGCTTTTTTGTTTGTTCGTTTGCTTTGTTTTGTTTTAAACTTCTCAGTCACTTCCGAAAAATGGTCAATGGTTCTCCAGTGCCCGTAACATTGATTTCCAAACATTTTATAAAACCTTGAAATTTTGCAGATTCCATAGGGCAGTAAGTGTACTTTTACTATTTTCACCAAAATACATAATGAGAAAAAGCCACGTGTAATTGCACCTTCCTGTTTATTGAGATAACAATAATAAAAGCCTCAGTGAATTCAAAAATAATTCTCATTTTACGTTGTGTTCAGGAATGCTTTCAGTTGATAATAAGTTAATCACAAAAGCATCGACATATAATTGAACAATTGGAGTATACGTGAGACATTCTTCTACAAGCAATGCTTGGTGCTCCTGTGGATTCTTTTGTCTCCTGTCATTAACGCCACAGTTTCCCAAGGGTTGTGGCCTCCAGCTGGGGAACCACAGGTCTGAAGAAGAAAATCTAAATTTCTGCTTGCAAGGCCTGCAAAGATTGTCTTGCTCTGGATCTTACTTCCTGTCTGCCTTTAATGTCTTACCCTGTTCTACCTGGTTCATCCAAATGCACCCTGCACGTGCATATCCCTGGGCTATAGAACACTTTATTCCCAGAATGTGGAAGCTCTTTCTTCCACATGGCTGCACAATAAGTCACTCCATCTAGATCTCAGGTTTAATGTCACCTTCTCTGAGAAGTGTTTCCGATGGCCCAACAAACTTGGGTGCTTCTTCTATCCTCTTTCTGCAAAATGACCTCTCTCTCTGTCTCAAAAGCAATCACTTGCAGCTTGCTTTAGACTTCTCTGCCTACCTAACTCCAGAAAGAATTCACTTTTTGTGATTTTACTACTCAGGACCCAAGACACCCCTGCGCACTGGCTTTTCCTCCTGTTTTGCTCTCCTCTCCATTCATCTGCACATGAAGAACAACTGCTTTCCTTCTGCCAAACATAGTTAGCAAGAGCAAAACAAAACCGAAAACCAATAGGCAGTCCTGTGTGTGTGTAGGTAAGAGAGAGAGGTTATGTGAGTGAGCCTGTTAAGTGTGTACATGCATTTGCTAGGGATACTATTATTCACTGTCATCGGCAGTGGAAGGCTAAGGGTGAAGAAGTTCTCCAAGAATGTGAATGTCAGGGAATTCAAGTGTCCCCTTCACACCCAAGATAAATGATCAGATAAACACAGAGTGGAGCTGGGCAAACTGTCCTAACAAGACAGACTGGCTCCAAGGTCAACAGGGCTTGGCGATGATGTGCCTGAAGTCACGGTCTCGTGCTGCGGTTACCACACAGCAGTCAACAACACACGTGGGGATACAGAGGAGTCCGTGGGCAAATATTGCCACGGCCCCTCTTGGCTTTGCTGGCTGACCAGGGACAGATGTGCCAGGTCATCTCCAGTGGGGTGAGAGCTACTGGGGCAGGAGTCAATGACGGAATGTTTCTGGTCTCGTTGGCAAAAGCAAATCCATTGTGAGAGTGATGAAATCGTGTCTGACCTTGATATCCTTAACCATCCAAATCTCCTATTTCTCCTTAGTCTTCAAGGCACTGTAAACAGCTTGATTATGATTTGGCATCTCTGGAAGGTCCCTGCAGGGAGAGAATGCAGTAATCATACCATCTACCTCTGTTTCCCTTCCCACGGCAGTGCTTTCTTGTATGACGTTAGCACAGTGACTCCTGACTAGGATTTGGCTTTTGTTG